TTACAAGCCCAGGACTATCCTGCTACAGTAAGGTGGCCCGTGCAATAACATCTAAATGCAGCCCGTGCTGGCCCAAAGCCGCAACAAACCACGCCCCCTACACACCACGCCCCCCGGCCCCTTCCACAACCTGTGGTATGTGAAGGAAGGTGAGTGATCTGCACAAACGTAAGTACTCTTATCTAGCTGAAATCTTGACTGATTTACAAACGGTTTGGTTTCTTACAAACGTTATTGACGTGGCTATAATTCAAATTACAGAAATACAAATAAAATACAAAATAATGAATACTAATTTTTGCCTGCCGTGAGAGTGTAACATAATTATCCATAAGTGCAGTGTTATAACTACACCTCTGACGTTTATAACAAACCAAACCATTTGAAAATCGGTAGAAAACTGAGCAAGTTATGGTTATTTACAAAGTACATGCACCAGTGTGGCCGTGCGATTCCATTGGCCGACAGCAGATGAGACATCTAGCCTTTATTATATGTATATATGGTTTGCACTTCCTTCTCTCTCGGGTAACTGCCAGCGTAGTCTCCGATCGGACTCCGTGTTGGTGTCGTATGTGCAAATCACAACCGATCGCCGCAATTCCAGCACCGTTCACTGTCCTGACACCCAGCAAAGTCTCCCTGCTGCAAGTTTTTCAGAATGAACGTCTGGGATAGACAAGACACTCAAAACGGTCACTTTTGTTGTCTCCTGGAGGGGCTGCTGCATCTATGCGCGCCGCCATCACCATGGACCATCACCATTTGGACAAAAAGTAGTACTTTTAGTGGAATAAACCTTTAAAACTCTGAGTTCCTGGATGAAAAGAAGTATTGCAGTGAAATAAACCTTTAAAAGTACACATTCATGGGCAGGAGCATTTTGAATGGAAGAAACCTTTAAAACTAGATATATTTGGACAGAAAGTAATATTGTGGGTGGAAAAGACCTTTCAAACAATGACTATTGAAAAGAACTGGTGTTTGAAGTATCATTAACCTTTAAAGGGAAGGTGAGGGACACTGGTTACAAACTCTAAGTCACCACTAGAAGCCACTAAATCCTCCATGTTGGTCTTTTCAATGTCTCAGTGTGTCTTGACTGAAATCTATCTGTTCCCTTCAGCTCCCTGCCGGCTCCCAGGGGACGTCCCTGGTCCCGTTCCCATCCTCCAGTCTGCGGGAGCAGTGTGCCGGCAGCAGCGCCGCCGTGGCCGTGCACTACATGCGGAGCGTTCGGGAGGTGGAGATCCAGCTGCGCAAGCAGGCCGGCAGGGTGAAGGAGGAGGGGGTGAGGCTGGATAGGGAGCGGGGCCACGTGGAGAGGATGCTGCTCAGCATCAGGACCAGTCTGACCGTAAACAGGAGGAGCTGGGAGGGCCGAGCCAGGAGGCCGTCCACCGCTGAGATGGTAAGTTCCCCCAGACCCTGCAGGGACACCGATTTAACAGACTTCACCAGCTGGTGCCCCATTACACAACGATGATTTTTTTGTATTACAAGTTTTCTAACAATGGAAGTTTAAATATGCAAAGGAGGTATTATATGTGTAGAGATGCCATAATTTGCATTAATTTCCCGAATTATGACATGCATTTAGTTCTATGAATCAAACCTTCAAATTATAGAATAACAATATGATAATTCTGAAATGTACTCATTTGAAAATGGTCTTCGAGATATGTACTGTAAAATCCCAGACATTTTTATTGTAACCTACTGTTTATTGATACAGATGTTACTAGTAGAACTTAAAATAATTAAATGATTTTTTGCTTATAACTATTCTAAAAATGAGAGTTTAATTATGCAAAGGAGGTATTATATGTCTAGAAATGTCATAATTTGCATTCATTTCCTGAATTATGACACATGTTCTATAGTTCTTTAAATCAGGCTGTGAATAATATATGAACAAATCTCTCTCTGAAAACCCTCAGATTGTAGAATAATAGTAACATAATCTAAATATGTACTAATTAGAAAATGTCTTCGAGATATGTATTGTAAAATTCCAGACATTTATATTGTAACTTTCTGTTTATGGATACAAATTTTAAGTAATGAAACTTAAAATGTGGAAATGTGTTTTGTAATAAAAGTTCTTTGAAAATTTTTAAAATTTAAAAAAATATGTATAAAAAAGCCCTGATTTGCATTAATTTAATGAATTATTCCATCAATTAGAAATCTAAAAATGCCTTAATTTGTAATAATTTCCAGAACAGGACTCTGAACACCGGATAAAGTCAGCTTTAAGTTTATTGTTTCATTTTGTTGACAAGCCTTAGCCAAAGGAGATTTTGACTCCTTACATACAAAATAAAATGAAATATGCAAATAAGCTATACATCATATAAAACAACAAACAAAAGCAACAACAATGCTCCAGTTTGCATTAATTTCATGAATTCTGGCATGCATTTAGGAATACAATGTTCTTTAAATCAGGGTATGGATGTTATGTGAACAAACTCCTCTGTAAACAAACATTCATATTATAGACAGGAATAAAACAGGAAAGTTTGGTGAAGGTAAGTACAGCTGAAGTAAAGATTTCTGACTCAGAGTTTAAGAAAAAACACATTTTAAGAAAACGGCTTTAGAGATTTGTATTATAACTCACATCTATAAAGCAGTAAAAACCTAAATGTGTATTTTAAATGTATAAAGTTTTCTTTCCACGAGTCTGCAAATGTTACAAAACCTCAAAACCAGAAAAAAAGTATGTTTTTGTCCTACAGAGTGTCGCCCATGTGTTCAGCTTTACGCTCCGCTTTGGGTCATATAGATTAATAAATACATGCAGAAAATACACAAAGAAAACACTCTGGTCTTTCCTCTTAGTTTCTATTTTTTATTTTTTTTTATCTAAGTTTAAGAGAAAGATGATTTGTCCAACTTTCAGTACAGCATTTGTATCTAAAGTGTGTCACTTTGCAAAGCCATTAAAGCCGAGTCTTGGCCACATGTGCTGTAAGTGACACCAGGAGAGTAGTTCACTGAGTGTGCTGCTGTGAGCTTCACCTGTCAGATGTGTGCTGCTGCTGCTGCTGCAGGAGAGCGACGGCGCTGATTACCTGCTGCTGTGTGAGAAAAGAGAGCTGGCCCAGTTGAAACAGGATCTGGAGGGAGTGCTGAGAGACACACTGACGCAACAGCAGGTGATTTACGGCATCAGGCTTCAAACACCCTTAACCTCCACACATCTCTTTAACTTTATACCGGTTCGCTTTTGTTGCTGGATGGTGTTTTAACGAGTTAATGTTGACCTGTAAGTTAAAGGTTAACCAGCACCGAGGAGGAGCTTCTCGACTGGCTCGATAAGTCTTCAGCTAGAATAGAATAGAATGCTTTTTATTGTCATCATACACAAGGTACAACAAAATTAAAAGACAACTCCAGTGGTGCAGAAGTATAAAAAGTCAAAGTATAAAAAGACAAACAAGAATATATACATGTATTTACAAAAGGAGCCAGTAGGAAGTATGTACAGTTAGCCAAACAGTAGAATAAATATATTGCACTGTTGAGGTAGGAACACTGTGGATATATGAGAAATATAAATAATATATTTATAATTATTATAGGTAATAAATATATGCAAAGTACAGAGTATCATGTATAATAATAATAATTAAAAATATATATATATATATATTTATATAATAATTTAAAAATGTAGTTATGATATAATTATATAGTATAGTATAGTATAGTATAGTACAAATAATAAATATATGTGATAAATAGTACAGACTATAGACTAGTGATGTACATCAAACATCTGCTTACCTGTCGGGTCTCTTCTGATGTTAACTGTAAAACAAACAACCAAAAAAACAAACAGGCCAAAACTTTACACAATGTCCACATCAAACATCTGGATTTTTACAAACAGGAATGCCTTCTTTTACAATTTGTGACTGTAAAATTACACCGTTTTACTGTATTTAAATAAGGACCCAAAAAAAATGCTATTTTAAAGATACTTAATATTATTTGAAAGAGAAATTAAATAAATTAAGGACTGAAAAATCTGAATTTTTTTTTTAGATTTCCCCTGTTTTGTGAAATTATAGATAATATCTAGAATCACAGGGGAAAATATTAATATACACGTTGACAGCAAAAAAATAAAAAAATAAAATAAAATAAAAATACAGGCCAAAACTATAAATAATGTCCACATTGAAAATTGGTATTTTTGAAAATAGCAATTTGTTCCCTTTCAAGTTAAAAGGAGCTAAAAATTATTGTTTTACAGATTCTTGCAATTATTTGAAAGAAAAACTATGTAAATTAAGGACTGAATAATCGTGACTCGTTTTTTTAAAGTGTTATTTAACAGTTTTTCCCTGTTTTGTTTGACTACAATTAATCTCTAGAAAACTCTCAGAAGAAGTGTACATGTGGACTGTAGAAAAAAAAACACCCCGGCCCAAACAACACATAATGCCAACATCAACAATCTGCATTTTTATAAATACTGATTTGTTATTTACAGATATTTCTGTTATTTGAAAAAAATAAATAAATAAAGGAAAATTAAAAACTGCAAAATTCTGAAATATTTTTTAAACTCTTATTTTACTGTAATTTTTCCCTGTTTTGTTAAATTACAGATAATATCTAGTAAAATCACAGAAAAATCTAATAATTTACATGTAAAAAAACAAAAATAAAACTCCAAACTTGTCAGGCCAAAATTGTAAATAATGTGTCCACATTAAAAACTGTATTGTCATAGTGTTAATGTTAGGATAAAAAATGTTAATTTATTCTTTTACAATGATGTGACCGTAAAATTACACAGTTTTACTGTATTTAAATATCTTAATTTCCCCATTATTTTTTTATATTTTTACATCAATTTTTACTTTTTTAAAAAAAAGTTTTTTTCTGTCACTCTTGTTACCAGATTTTCATTGTTTTTTTTTTACAGTGCAGTTTATGTTATTTTTATTCGTTACAAGTTTTTTGTTTTCTCCACATCTTTCTTCTGCCCCTTTCCTGCACAAGAATTATGAAGGCAGCGCTGGCAAACTTCAGTTAAAGTTTGGAGCATTTTAGGTACAAATTTAGCTGAAGAGTTACATCTCAAAGCATGAGAACATCTTGCTGTCCGTCAGAAGAATCAACAGTTAAGTGGCTGTTTAGCTAACTTTGCTAATCCTGTTTGAATGCACCACAAACACAATACAATATGTAACTTTGGTACAAAGAAATTAGTTTTTGGCGTCTTCACCTTTAGCCTGTAAGTTATGATCGATAATTACCGATCATTTACAGACAGATAAGTCTGTCAATGATTAAAAAGGTGAAAAAAGTCCATCACAGGTCAACATTTTCCTTTTTTTTTTTGATGATTTACATATAATTTACACACTGATTAAGTCTGTACATTATCCAAGATCCTGTGTGAAGACCATCACGAAGCATCCTGTCTTCCAGGCTCTGGGCGTGAGCAGCAGGCAGCTGCTGGACTGTGCAGCTGAACGGGCTCATGTCCTGGAGCTGCTGCCTCACAGCGGCTCTGCTGGAGGTCACGGCACCAATGCTCACACCTTCACCAGAACAGACCCCATTGGACCCTTCACACCAGGTACGCTCAAAACCAAAGAAGAAGGGTTAATTTTACAAATGTCAAATGGAGCATCACTGAAAAAGCTGTCTACAAATCTTTCAAATAGATTCCCCCCCAAAACACTCATAATTATCATTAAAGTGACTTCAAATTAAAAATGTCAGTATTTTCAGAGCATAAAAATGAAGAACTGAAGTTTGCTGCAAATCCCCCATATGGTTTTTCAGGGCCGATGCCGAATATTCGTTTTATTTGTAATATTTGGAACTGCTATATGTTTGCAGTGTAAATAAAAAATCTTATTGTCAACATTCAGAATAACACAAACTCCAACACAAAACTTTGCTGAAATGCTTTTGTTTACTTATGTTTTACAAAAGAGAACATTTCAACATAAATAATTCAGCGTTGATTGACTGTTACTCATAACTCTTAAATTTACCACAAAACCCCCCAAAAATTCTGCATCCCTTGGTGCCATCGTGAAGATGTTAGTGATTCAACCACATGAGAAAAATTCTGGGATTTTTCAGCTGAACTGAAGGAGTGTTTGCTCAGAGCAGAGAGGAGGAAAGGATGTAGACAAGTTAAAAATACAAATAATACATAAAATATCTCAAGTAAGTAGAGCTGGATTTTTTTCTAGTGTTGGTAACATCTGTTAACAAATGATTATTTAAAGCAATGTCTTTTTTTTAAAATATCTCAAGTAAGTAGAGCTGGATTTTTTTCTAGTGTTGGTAACATCTGTTAACAAATGATTATTTAAAGCAATGTCTTTTTTTTTTTTTTTTTTAAATAATTTCTGTCATTCTAACTATGTCATCCTGCATAGAAGAAATTTCTGACTTCTCTCTCCTTCTGACCATGGTTGTGCTGTTTCTATGGCGATGCTGGACTTCATATTGCAAAGAAAAATGAGCCAATGATGCTCAGAAAGAGAGTTCTGAGAGTTAAATTCAGGTTGGTGTTGGATGATTCCTACTTGGATCAATCTCACTGTTCTCATGTATTCTTGCAGAGTGTAAACAGGCTTTAGAGTCGTCCTCTCTGGCAGTGAAACAGTCACAGCTGCTGAGGGAAAACATCAGACAGATGCTAACAGGCGCCATCAGCAGGCAGAAAGCTGCTCATTGTTCCGTCAACGACGGCCTGGTGAAGAAAATTGCAGAGACAGTCTGTCTGCAGGTAAACACAGTTTATACAATACAGAAATACCGTTAAGTATCACACCAATAAAATACACTTTCCGTTTCATTCTGTCTGTTGTAGCAAAATCTAACTGTGACGTCTGCAGCCACCAGACAGGCCATGTTTCGCAAGCAGAGAGAAATCAACTGTATTCGTCACAGCCACGACAGAGCACAGGTTAGAGTGTGAGCGGAACCTTTATTAAAGCTTCAGCGACAACCTGCGCCACGTGTGGGTGCTAATTTTTGCGTTTTATTCTGCTTTCAGGGTCCTGAGTACAGCGGAGACATACTATCCAGAGAGAAGCTCAACAGACCCGTGGTGCAGGTTTACCAGAGACATCCGGGGACACAGTTACCTGAAGCTGCTCGGCTCATTCAGGTGATCACAGCTTCTAAAGCTACACATGTTAAAATACACCAGGAATCGAATTAGGCTGCCATCTTCTTCTCCAGACTTTAAACATGGTAACCTTTAAACTGTACTTGCAAACATTACAGATGTATTATTACATTATTTGTTGATCCAACTGTCTTAAATTGCCCCCCAGGGGGCAAATAAAGTTTTTTTAATTGAATTGTATAAATTCTATGCATTTGTAAAGCTATTAGCTACAGCTGGTAAAACTAGAGTACACTCAGACAACAACCTGCTAATGAATCCACAATATACAACAGAAATGACCACACCTTTGTGCAACATCAGTCAAATGCCAAATGATTCCAAATGGTCTCACCTTAGAGTTATCAGATTACTTCTAAGCTGAACAGTCGGCATTTGCTCTTACATATAATTAAAAACTAACAATTTAGATGTACAATATTAAAAATACAGGCCCCACAGTTAGACAAATAAAAGTCGGTCCACCTTCCAGCAATGAGACTCACGTGTAAACCTTTATTTCTGATGACAGACTGAATCCCCCTCAGCATGTAAAATACGAAATTTCTGGACTTTTCAGTGGCTCTTTGCTGGAGGGGTCGTTGTTACTCTTTAAAATACTCCAAAGATGTACTGGATTCTAATCTAGCCACATACTTTCCCGGTCATGGTTTTACTTTGCTCTTCTGGAGAAACTCTTGTGTCATTTTTGTGCTTTGGATGCTGGAACATTGTTCTTCTGCTTGTCAGCAAGTATTTTGGTTTGTCCACAGACATTCATGCTGCATCTATGAATGTCACCTTTTGCATTCATGTAGCCTCATATCATCACACTCCCACCTCTGTGCTTCACTGTCAGACTATGCATTCACTGTAGTAGTCCTGGTCAGGTTCATACAAATCATGCTGGACTCCATCTGAACCTGATGAATTTATCTGATCTGACCAAAGAAATTTCCCCCAACATTCATCAGGCTTCTTTTTTTGTTTTTTAGGAACGTTTCATTTTGCAATTTTGTACCAAATAGCAAGCAAGGTTTCTTTGGTTGTCCTCCATCCATAGAGTTTGATGTTATGAAGTGTGCTTCACACCGTCTGAACTTGACAGTAACTGATTTCCATTAATAACCCCTGTGTTAAGTCTGAAGCAGCTGTTGTCTGTTTTTCACAGCTAGATTATAAAAGTAGTTTGATGTCTGTGGACTCATTTTAGGAGAACGACCACTGCAGCTCTGATTAGTGGTACTATGGCTCCTTCTATACCTCCTGATTGTTGCTGCAACTGTGGTTGTTTTTTGCTCACCAATCTTCCTCACAATCAGATTTTTCAGTTCCTCTGGAACTTCGTTTCCATGTGGAACCATAATGCAGACATGCAGATAGACACATCCATAGGTCAGAAACTGAGAAAATTCTGCCGTTCACAGTTTATTTTAGATTGATGGTCATGCAGTTAAGCTGACTGGAAATCACAGGTGGACTCAGTTTAGTTTTATGGATCACAGGTGGACTCCCTCTTGTTGCATTAAGTGTCCAGTTTTGGGGCCTGAATTTTCAAAACAGTCTTTCTTAAGCATTTGTATTCGAGTGTTCATAGAAGGAAATACTTTACTGTTCAACTTACAAAAATACTGTGAGTACTGATTAATTTGAAATGTAAGTGATATTGCACAGTGGTGTACTTAGTTTTGTTGTATACTGTGAACCAAACCATCTTGTTTCTTAATTGTGGCTTGCACATGACAAGTTCTGTCAAAATGTAGTCTGACCTGAAAAGAGAATAAGGTGCAGAGGACAGACCCTCCACTGTAGCTTTACACTTAATTAGAAGGGCAGATCTATCAAAAGATTCTGGGCACATAAGACATGAGTGAAAATAGGAACAAACGTAATGCTTCATATTTACATAGAATGGCAGATGTTCACACATGTACTAAAAAAGCCTGCAGCGGTTTAACACCAACCTGGCCATTTGAGTGTGAAACAAGCTAAACCAGGTAGAGTTGTGTTTCCTGTGTGTCTTTCAGGGCAGCATGTTGCTCAGACAACATCGACAGTCCTCTGAGGGCATGCTGGCGAGGCTGCAGCGCACCTGCCTGCAGCTTCTGGACGACCTGCACGACAAGACGGCAGCGGCGCAGGGGGACACAGCAGTCATCCGCATGAGGCGCCAGCAGGTCAACAAGAGAGCCATGCCCACTTTCCTCTGGCAGGGGGCGTCCTGAAGCCAGCTGCCTCTGTCTGGGGTTCGGAGGGGCTGCAGTAGGCCAGCAAGCAGAGAAGAGGATAGTGTTAGTTCTGTCGTATGGTGAGGAAACAGGCAGCAGCCATATGCAAAACTAAATCTCACTTTAAGGCCAAAAGTATATGGACACCTCTATTTTCATGAGCACTGTTGGTCTCGGGCTGTTTTTCATAGTTCTTGCTGTGTGTTCTGTTATTCCTCAGAGATGATTTTTGTTTAACTGGTCTTTGCTGGAGGGGTTGTTTTGCTCTACCTTTCGCTTTAAAATACCCAAAAGGTGTTTTACTGGATTCAAGTCAGGCCACATACTTGTCCAAGTCATAGATGTCACTTGTGTGAAACTCTTGCGTGATTTTGTGCTTTGGATGGTTCTCACACTGGAGTATTCCTCTTCTTCAAGCTTCTGCAGACTGAAAGTCATCTTTTCATCCAGTATTCTGATGTATCCACAGATACACATCTATAAATGACATAGTATGTGCAAAATGAATCTCAGTTTAAGTCTAAAACTTTATGGACACCTCTGTTTTTATGTGGGCTGTTGGTCTCAGGCTGTTTTTCATGACTCTCGCTGTAGCTTTGTAGCAAAGTTCTTTGTCAGCTACTGTCATGCACAAACTAATATCCTTTAGTATTGGTGTGGAAAAACTAATCTGGTCTGATATCAGTCCACATCCTATATCAGGGATCTCCAACTCCGGTCCTCGTGAGCTACTGTCCTGCAGGTTTTAGGTGTTTCCGTACTGCAACACACCTGACTCAAATTAATGCATCTCCAACAGCTTGTTGTCAGTTTCTACACAAGTCTGTTAATGACCCATTAATTTGAGACAGGTGTGTTACAGTATGGAAACATCTAAAACCTGCAGGACAGTAGCTCACGAGGACTGAGTTGGAGATCCCTGTCCTATACCGTTGCCTCGCAGCAAGAAGGTTGCGTCCCCGTGAGGACACCTGAGATCTCTCTATGTGGAGTTTGCATGTTCTCCCTGTGCAGCATGGGTTCACTCCAGGTTCTCCGGCTTCCTCCCACATAGTCCAAAAACATGTTGAGGTTAATTGGTGATTCTAAATTGTCTGTAGGTGTGAGTGTAAGTGCGCATGGTTGTCTGTCTGTACGGGTAGCCCTGCAATAGACTGGCGACCTGTCCCCCCCACCATGAATCACAGTTTGTCGTGGGTAGGAATAATTCTGGTGTTTAGCTGAAGCAGGCACTGGTCAATGATCGAGTTGTGGCTGACATAGCTGCAGATTGGGGCCTTGTTTTCCTCATACAGTGTTAGTTTCTGCACTGAGCTATGGTTGGACATTTTCTCTTTTGTTTTCCTTTGTGCAGTAACATTTTAAACATTAAAGTTCCAAGTTACAAAACTCTTCTGTCTGGTTTGGCTGCTTTTCCTGCAATAAAACACAACTACTTTATATGACTGAAAACCTAAACACTCTAAAGGATCAGGGTTTATTTTGAAGTCTAAACCCAACAAACTCCTTTAAAAGTCATGTTCAAGTTAAAAACTGTGAGTGCTCCGTTGTCTCGTCATGGGACTGCAGGTCACTTGACGGCAGACTCAGTGTCTTTCATTAGGAAACGACATGATTTAATAAACCTGCCCTGCTTTACCTTCGCACAGTCCACGTATTCATGTCACTCTTTAAAAATTGACCCTTGTAACATCAATTTTAAGCTGACCTGGGGCAAAGTTTTCTCATAAAGCTCTGCTAATTGTTTTAACTCTGAATGAAGCTTTTCTCTGCAGGACAGTGACCAGCTGCAAAGTCATGGCTATAAACGGTGCACTAACAGCCTAACTGAATCATAAGTCATGGGCTGTGGAGTTAATTAACAGAATATCAGGAGAGAGCAGGAGACGTTTACCTTCACATGTGTGCAGCTGCTTCAGCTGAGAGGATCTCAAGATGAAAACAGCCCGTTTGTTGTAGAAAATACAGTCCAAAAGTCGACCTGCAGGAAGATTTTCTCAACACCGTCAGTAATGTGGAAGCTGCTGAGTCCTCTGCTTCTGCTGTGTTTGCTTCCAGCTGTGGGTAAGTGAACTAAACAGATATGTGTTTCTGCTGGTGCGCATGAATACACAAAGCATGTGTGCTGCTGTGAACGCAAATACTAGGAGTTTGGGAGCAACAGCTGACATTGGGGGACTTCTTTCAAACTATTTTCTCAATTCAAATATTATTTAATCTACAAAATGTTGGGAAAAAAATCTCAACTTTGGCAAGTAAAATAGTGAAAAATTAGAACCTTGTCTTGCCACACTTGCAACACATTAAATTCTGCTGATGTTAGAAGCCTCAAAAGTTGGCGAAATCTCAACCAAATACTGTATTTTTACAGGGAAATATGGACATATCCATGTATTTATACAATAACAGAAACTTTCTGGTTCCACTACACCACCCTCAATTGAAGATTTTGCACTTTTTATTTTTAAAAGCAAATGCAATGGTCAGTAATGAAAAATGTGTCCTCTGCTGGAGCCACTTCCGTGTCCTCACCAAATTTTTATGTTACATGTTATATTTCTGGAGATAACAAACCCTTTAAATGGCTTCTCAGGTAATATGTTTATTTGCAGTTGAAAACACTAAAATTTCCAGGTCTGAAAATAATTATTTAATATTTTGGGTTGCAAACAACAAATAAGTAAAGCCTGGACTAAGTCTAAGCAGCAAAATGTCTAAAATCTTCCTTTTTTTTTTGATCAAATGGTCAGAAACAATCAGAAAAGTCTATATTTATTTCAACTAAGATAAGAAACTGTGTCTTTATTCCCAGTCTTATTATTGTGTGTAGTTCCCCCTTAAACGTCCATTGTGTGCTTGAAAAACTTCTAGAAATCCAGAAGATCTAAAGATGTTCAGTTTACTATCATGAAAAAAAAAAGACAAAATGTAAATCCTCACATCTGAGAAGCTGGAAGCAGCAAATATTTAGCAGTTTAAATTATAACTTGATTAATAAATTCATAATTTGAGCACCTTTTGTATCAATGAGGAAACTTCCTCTTATACAAGTTTCAGATTGTAAACTATTTTATTTACTAAAACAACAACATTATAAAATAGGGCCAACAGGCTAAAATAATTAACCATTTGGGGAATATAATTGTCTATTTTAAAATGCAGAGAAACTGACATCAGGAACAGTTCTTTATCATCATGTTTTGTGTCATATTAGGGCTTTGACTAACAACTATTTGTATCAATTGATTAATCTACCAATTATTTTCTTGATTATTTAATTATTTGGTCTATAAAATCAAGTTTTTCCAGCTCAGAAGAGTTTTTATTGGCCTCTCCAAAAGGTTTGATGCCAGCAACAAAGGAGAATCCTCAGCACAGGAATTACAGGAATTTTAGAATTTTAGATCAGTTTTGTTAATTGGGGTTTCATTTACACCAGTGTAATAGATATTCTTGTTCATCAAATGGTCAGAATTAACAGGAACATTCATAGATTTCTGTTAAATGAGGCAACAAAGATTTATTACCTACAGACCGATCTTATTAGTCACGTTTCCAGAAGCCCATTCTGAGCAGGAAACAGTTAATACAAGAAAATAGTGAAACCAAAGGTCCAAATCCAAAGATGTTTAATTTACAATAATGTAAGACAAGGGAAATCAGCACATCGTCACATCTGAGAAGCTGGAGGCTGGAAACATTTGATAATTGACTCAAAAACTACCTTGTGTGTCAAATTTAAAGCTGTCTGTTGCACAAATTTCAGCTCATTCAGTATTTACTGTCCAAAATAACAAATGTCAACAAAGTACAACAGCAACACTACTGTCTTCTGAGGTCACAGATAATAGATATCTACATTCCTCTGTTTTAAAATGCAGACCAGTGGGCAATAGGGACAGAGTGTTTCATCTTCATCATGTTTTGGATCAATACACTCCAGATTCTCTACAAAACTGAGCTACTCAAAGCCATTTTGTCGGTTTTAATTGACATCTCTGTCCCTCAGCTCCCCTCTTCTGTTTCACCTGTGTGTTCCCGACCATCTCGCCTCTGGACTGCATCAGATTCCCTCTGAAGTGTCCACCGGGGCAGCTCTGCCTGTCCAGCAGAGCCGTGGGTCGGAAAGGTGAGGAGCCTCGAGTCACTGCACAACATTTAAACGACTCAAAACTGAGAACAAGAAGTGAGAACGGCTGGAGGGGGAGGGGGGTCCTATTCACTCACTGATGTTTATGATGAACTTTCAGGAGACTTCCGTGTGGTGTTGTACGAGAAGAGCTGCGTCCTGCCTTCCCTCTGTGGACTCACGGGAGAGAAATTCGCCATGGGGCTAAACTTCACCTTCACCAATGAATGCTGCGACACTCACCTGTGCAACAGTGCTGCTGCCCCCTACTGGACAGGCACATTGCTCACTCTGCTCACTGTGCATTCAGTTTGGTGAACAGAGAAGCCTTAAACATCCCATACTGTGACCCTTTAAAGTAAATTAATGGAAGTCTCACATGTGCCCAGAATGTGTCTTTTCATTTTTCAGCTTCAAAAATAGATTCCGATTTGTTTTATTGTCATTATAACGAGTACAACGAAAAGTAAGGTGCAGGCCTTTCAGTGCAAAAAACTAAAATATAAAACTTTGTAAAACAATAACAACTTTGTAAAACACTATATACAATATGAAAGATGTATATATATATATAAACAAACAAAAAAAGAACTCTATATAAAAAGATGAAATGAAATCATGAGCACGGTGTGTAATACAACAAATACAAAATACAACGAGAGAGCGAGAGGGCCCTGAACAGCCAAGAAACCCTGATCAACCGGAGCCCGCGCCTGGTACGGACGAGGAGCGCAAGAGCGATGTGGAACCCGATAACGATGTCTACAGCTCGGACACGGATGATGAGCCCCCAGCCGAACCTGTTGTTTTAAAGTTCAGTTAAGTTTCGTAACCACGTCTTAACTGCAAGTGTCCTCTAGCGGAGGACCATCGGCAGAGATATGGCGTCATATGTCAAGAAGTCTGTGGGACAAAGCAGTTGGTTGTCACCAGTGATGTGCGGTCAGGGAGAGCCTCACCTGACATCTCGAAAAAAAATAAATAATGATAAAATAATTTAAATGATTATGTTTATCCAGTGATTTGTAGTATAAAGTTGTTGTTTTTTTTCATTTAGCCTCGTAAGTTTTGATGGTTTTTAAATTCAAAATCACTGAATTGTCGCAATTTCCCATTCAAATGCTTGGAAGATAAGCCAGTGAGGCAGCGGCGAGCTGAGCGTCACCTTGGATTGCGCAATCCCTCACTGCGCTGGCTGCCATCCATAGGCTGTCACTGCATGGCAGCCAGTGAAGTGAGGGATTGCGCAATTCAAGCGCGACAGCAGGGAGCTCAGCCTCACTTGGATTGCGCAATCCCTCGCTGCCATGCAGTGACAGCGTGCTGCTGTCTGGATGTCGCCAATAACACGTTCAAACACATTTGAACTGATTTTCCATAGTTCAGCTGATGTATATAATAATGAACAGTGTTTTTTGTTACCAACTGTATGTGTGTAACATGTTTTGTGTGCTGAGCGATCATAAATGGCTAAGACGAGGTTCTAGGTGAGGCAGGCAGTTCTCTTGCCTCATGGCAGGGGGCCTCTGATCCCAGATATGCTTCTTGTGATTCCGTGGCTGCAGAGTAAGTGACAGCAAACTAGACTAGGTAGGGCATATAGTTAGCAAGGCAAGTGCAGCGAGGGACGATAAGACACTTTTACAAAAAAGTAATGTATATTTTTGTCCAGGAGGAGCGGAGCATGGACTTCATTTAAAGGTAAAGGTAAGACCGCAATAACTTGGAGAAAAAAATGGGGGTGTTGTGGGCTCCAGCCTGTATGTGTAAAGAATGCAGATATGAAACATAACCCATAAACTGCTGCCAGTCAAATGGCAAATATGCTGCTGTGTAGAGTGCATATATTTGTAAATCAGATT